ATGTGTGTATATATATATATATATATATATATATATATATATATATTACACACATACACACACACACACTCACAAACATGTATGTAACCATTTTGTGAGGTATGAACTGGTTTAATTTTATTTATTTATTTATTTTGTAATAATTTTAAGCAATTTCATGCATGCACTAAAAGACAATTCAAAAGACTTTTCATCTATCCTCAAATTCTTCTGAGACTATGGGAATTCTTCCCTAAAGATATATATTTAAATAAACATATGAGACAAAGTCAATTCTTAAATGAAACATGAAGCTTTGCGAGCGCAAACTCTGAGCAATGCATCTTCCTCTATATATAATATAATATAATTAAGTATAATTAAGCACACTTCTTTTTCACAAGGGTTGAAGCGCGCTCAGCACACTGTGTATTATAAATGTAATTGTAAAAGCAGTTGACGTGTCTTCTTCAGATGGGAACACTGGAAGCTTCTGTCTAATCTGAAGACGACTGTTGAAGGGCTGCTCTCCACCAACAACCCTAACGTGTGGTCCCGCTATGGGGGTCTTCAGCGCCTGCACAAGGACATGAACAACATCCTGGGCCACGGCCTCAAGCACGAGCAGGTGTGGAGGAACATGAGCGTTTTTCTTCAAAGTACCTAGAATATTCTGTGGTGACGGCAGGAATATGTTTAAAACAGCAGCCTGAGTTACCAGGAACTGTTAGACACAAGTAAGCTCTGTGGCTAATCAGATGAGGAAGAGTGTTTTTAAGTTTCGTTACTACTTTGTTTTACTTTCTGAACCTAACTGGAGATAAGAAATGGCCTCTGTGGCCTTTCCAACAAAGAAAATATTGTGTTAGTTTATAGATTAACGTCATGAAACCTACATCCGGATTATTATACACTGCTGGCCAAAAGTTTCTGGCCGGTAAGATTTTCTTAAAACGTTTTTGACAAAAGTCTCTTCTGCTCAACAAGCCTGCATTTATTGGATCAGGAAAGCACTAAAACTGTAATATTGTGAAATATTGTTACAATTTATAATAACAAGTTTTATATTTTTTAGTTATATTGTAAAATATATTTTATTCCTGTGATGCAAAGCTGAATTTTCAGCATCATTGCTTACTTCAGTGTCACATGGCGGTCACATTTTAAAATATGTAAAAACAGAAAATAGTTATTTTAAATTGTAATAATTTTTCACAAAATTACTGTATTTTTACTGCATTTTTGACCAAATAAATTCAGCCTGGGTGAGCAGAAGAGACCTTTTTCAAAACCCGGCAGTGTTTCTATGAAAATCTCTAGTTTTTATATATTTAAAGTCAGCATTAAATATAAATTCATATCTATTTGCTAAATGCACTTTATTAGTTTTATTGTGAATTGAGCATGTGATTCTTTAATTACCTTGTCATGACTCAATCTTCTGTTACCTCAATTTAATTGTTCCATTTAATTGTTTTTATGTAGTGTTTTATTTGTTATTTTTACAAATACAATACAATAAAATACCCTTTTTTATTTTTACTTGACCTATAGATAAAACTTTGTCAGTCAAATGCCAATCAGATTACAAACAACTGCTGCTTCATTTTACTTTAAATTAAAATTTTGCTATAATAATTTTATTTAAAATGTTAGATTTCTAGTTTTAGACATTTTTGTTGTTGTTTAAATGTAACACTTTTGTTTTATTTAAAAATGTTAATTTATTTGAATTAAATTTTTTTCTGTTTTGTTGTTAATAACAATGTTGTCAAGCACAGAAGTGAGCAAACACATTTTTAATGTGTGAATCATTGCGCTGTGGTACAGGATCTAAGTTGGTTATTTTGTTCTGCAGATTTACTATAAACAAAAAGACTACTGGCGTTTCGTGTGGTGTGTGCGGTATCTCTGTCCTCATCTCGCCCGTCACGTAGAACAGGTATTTGTCAATGCAGTGAATATTTCCCACGTGAAGCTTGTTTTGACCTCGCCAGTGAGATCTTTGACTCCTTGTTCTCTCTTGTTGCAGTTCAGTCAGCTGGAGCCGGTGTTGAGCAGTGGCGTTCAGTGCTTCGGCGAGGGTTATAAAGCCGAGCGTTGGCTTCTACACAGCCTCCAAGGTCACATCTTATCTGCCCAGCTCAAACCGCTGCTGCAGCATAAGACAAACACACAGAAATATTACAATGGTAACTCAACATCCTCCAAACCTTTAGCATCTTCACTTACGTATGCATCTTTCCTGTGTGTGGTAATGTTGTTGGCTGTCCTCTTCTGTAGACGGGGCCTTCCTGTTGAGTGAACCACACGTGTCTGCCATGTTCCAGTGTCTGGAGGCCGTAGAGCAGAATAACCCTCGGCTGCTGGCTCTCATAGACACCGGCAGGGTGAGAAACTTGCCGTCCTGGTAGAGGAAGTCTGTAGTTGATTCATATTAGTAAGGTTTTGTTTTCCACATTGTGATTCCAGAGGATGTGATTAAGCATAACAAAGAAGATAAATGTTTTTCCTGGTCTTTGTTGAATTCGAACAGTGATGGAAACTTGCCAGACCTAAAGTGATAGTTCACCCAAAAATGAAAATCCTGTCATCATTTGCTCACCCTCAAGTTGTTCCCGACCTGTATGAGTTTCTTTCTCATGCTGAACATAAAAGAAGATATTTTGATGAATTGGGGTAACCAGACAGTTTATTGGGTGAACTGTCCCTTTAAGTCACAAATCAATATTAACTCAGTTTGTAAACAATTGACTTGAGATTTTTTTTAGCAGTGTTGATATCATTAATTAAAAGTAAGACTGTCAATCGATTGCAATTTTTTATCTGATAAATTACGCAATGTTGCGATTAATCGCAATTAGGGATGGGTACCGAAACCCGGTATTTAATCGGTCTCGGGGCTAAATTATGAAAGACCGGAGTATCGATAAGCTCTGACGTTAACGGTTCTGCTATCGGTACTGGAGAAATTAATAAAACACACATACATTTATTATTGCTATATATACATTCTCTTGCAAATTCTATCTCACCAGAGTCGCCAGCTGTTTTTCAAACATTTGTCTATGATGCATTTTTGCTCCTGTGGCGGTTTTATTAAGCTAATTTAATTTTTTTATTTCGATTTTGGCTTCTAAGGATTATACAAAAGAAGACATGAGGTAAAGCTATTAAAAACTAGCTGCGTTTCATCTTGCGCAACTTCTTTCCCTTCACAGCGGTGCGCATTCGTTCCTCCCTAAAACCCAAACTTAATGTCAGAATCAGCTCAGTCGGTGATTGTTGTAAGATGCCGTCTTTACTGTTGCTAAATTGCGGGACATGTTTGATAATAAAATGTTGAAAGCACAATCCGCACAAGAGACGCTGTTCCTCAGGCTGAAATGTGTGCATGCGACGCGCTCCAAAACGGACAAACAAATTACACTTTGAGCTTTGGGTGCATGTCCAATCGATCAAATACACACAAAATATTTCCAAATGGCCGCGCAATTTAGTTGCTCATCAATTTTGGCTGAGAAATCGCCCCCCAAAAGATAATTTAAAGTCATTATTATCTTAAATGAGAAAAGCATGAAATGGATATTACGAAAAAAGCTATTAAAAACACTTTCTGTTAATTGAAATAAAGCGAAAGTAAAATGTAAGTATTAGATGAAAAACTGAACGAAAGTTTGAAATGTTGCCTTGGCAACTAACTTAATTACTAAAGTTATGATAAAGTTATAACGCTTAAGTACTAAAATTACTAACTGAAATAAAACTAAAACTGAAGTAGAAGTTATAAAATAACAAAAGCTATTTTAATATTAATAATAAAAAATAAGCATATCAAAAAATAAACGCTAATTTAAAATCTTAATCAGAACTATAAAAAGTATATAAATAATACTAAAATAACACTGGATTTTAGCTGTGGAAGCACAATTTTAATACCATTACTGTCAAATGTTGTTTTGAAATATTATTTAAACTTACCATTGAAAAGCACGGATGGCCGCCGAGTGGATCGGCTGAGGGGTGTGCGAAATTGACAAAAAATTATATCCCAATATTTATTCCCATTATATCCCAATATTGCTGAGTGTGTTTTTGTGCTGGTACCTTGGCTGGTTTAGGCCTGTCATGGATAAATAAATATGACACT